AAAGTGAAGATTTTTTTCATGTCACGCATCCAAGCACTTAACTGTTCCAAGGGATGCAGGGGCCACTTAAACTCTCTTGCTGCTGGAGAAGGATTTAGTTTTCCCTCCTGAGTGTTAGATGAAAATTAAAGTATTGGTAAATGAAATAGATGAGGAGCATATTCTGGTTCCATTGTACAAAGCCAAATTGAAGTGCGACTTGTGCAGTTGATGCAGTTAAGAAATGATCTGCGAAGAGAGTTGATTTATTCCTGGAGAATTATTTAGTCAGAGTGAAAGTTATAGCTTCACCTATAATCAGAAAAGTCCAGTTGAAGCTAAAGAGACTCAATAGTTTCAGGAACAGGTTCTGGACATTTTTCCATCACGAGTGGTGACCACAGCAATGGTTAAACAAAGTCCATCATTACAGATTGCAGTAATGCCACAAGCAGATGTTGGGGCAGCTTGTACTCTTTTTAAGAGCAAGGATAAGTCAGAGGAAGTGCTTGATATGTATTTGTTAATTTAAATCTCAGAAATAACCCAGAATTCACCAAGATGGTTCAGACAGTTCAGACAAACCGAGACTGAAAGAGGTCCAGAGTGTTATTGTACTGAAAAAAGCAATTATGAAGAGGAAGTGGCGACATCCTCACAGACCTATGGATGAAGAGTGGATGTTTGTTCATCAAATAGCTGTCTGTATCTTAGGGAGACAATTTTCATAGCACATAAAATTCCCACAGACATAAAGCAACACAGAAAATATAGACATCAAGAAACAGGTATTTTACATGGCCAAGACTTCATGAAGACATAGAGCAGTTCTGTAAACCATATTAGGTTGTAGGAAAACCTCAAGAGGTTATCAAAATGACACCTTTGATACCCAGAGATAGTAGGAACTGCAGATGCTGGAAAATCCGAGATAACAAGGTGTAGAACTGGATGAACACAGCAGGCCAAACAACATCATAGGAGCAGGATACCTATGTCAGTTTTAGAAGAATCGTTTAGTAGAATGTCAGTTGAGTGAGTAGGACCATTACCAAAAATGATAGCAGGATATCAATGTACCCTTACAATATGGATATGAAAACCAGTTTTCCAGAAGCTATTCTCTTGAGGACAATTACAACTAAGCTACTAGTGGAAAAACTACTGCAGTTGTTTTTAAGCTCGAAATGGACTACTAATTGAGATACAATCTGATCAGGGTCTAACTTGTTGCCTAAAGTTTTCTGAGAGATCATTAACAGCTTGGGCACAAAACAATTGCGTATCAACTACAGAGGAAGCTTTGGAGAGATGCCATCAGACTTTCAAAACCATGATTAAGACATACTGTCATGAATAGAGAGTTAGGGCAAAGAATGAAGTGGATTTTGTTAATTTTTTCATTTGATTTAGCAAAGCAACTTATCTGATAAACACCCTTGATCATAGGAAAATGAATCAGTCATATCACAAACATGTTGAAAATGTGTTATCATCGACAAGAGAATAAGGAGGAACTGGTGTGCTAGGTAAGAGAACTGGAAAATGACAAACAATAAGAGTCAGATAGAAAGAGGAAGACATTTCTCAAATCAAACCTCCTACAGTTCGATTAGCTAACAGAAATTTTGAGATGTCAGATACTGTTCTTGGATTTAGAGAAAGGAGAATGGGAGAATCTTGTAAGACATTGAGAAAGTGGAAGGTAATTGTACAGACATACTTCGATGTACAACAGCCAGGCATGATGCGAATGTAAAACAGTCAGGATGAACAGAACAGCATCCTTATTGGGTGAGGTCGAAACAGATTCAGAACATGCTGACCTCGACTGAAACTAATTGCAGCAGCTGGAATTCACTGATATCATTAGTTCCTAAACCAGAGAGATCAGCTAGACTCAGTACAGATTGTAGAAAAGTAAACACTGTCACACAGATAGATTCCATTGTTGGAAGACTGCATTTATAGAAATGAATCAGACATCGCCACTCCCAAGACTGATTTATTGACAGGGTATTGGCAAGAGCCAATAATATCAAGTGATAAAGAAAGATCCATGTTTGTTACACCAAATAGGTTATGTCATCATTGAGTGATGCATTTGGGTTAAACAATGTCGTAGCCACATTCCAGAGGTTTATGAACCATGTCATTTCTGAGTTTCTAACTACACAGTGTATTTGAATGAAACATAGTAGCACATAGGAACAGTACCTGAAACATGTAGAATACCTGTTTGAGAACTTATAGCTGGCTGCATAAGTTCTAAATTTAGCCAAAAGTGAGTTTGGAAAAGCAAGACTAACTGTCTCAGGACATTTTGTAGGAAAAGGACAAGTATCGCCAAAGTCAGCAAAAGCGGTATCTCTAACAGAATTCCCATTCCTAAAGTCCTATAATTGTTACAATCAGGTGCCTAACACCCCAAAACCCACCGCAGGCTGTTGGCCTGGGACCGGAAACCCATTACATTCAGGTTCAAGGCACATCAAAACTAACAAATGACTTGTCCAGGGCATATGGTGTTGGAATTTGAATTCAAAATATCTGTAATTAAGAATCTAATGACGACCATGACTCCACTGTCGATTGTCGGAAAAACCCATCTGGTCCACTAATGTCCTTTAGGGAAGGAAACTGCCATCCTTACCTGGTCTGGCCTAGATGTGACTCTAGACCCACAGCAATGTTGTTGACTCAACTGCCCTCTGGGCAATAAATACTGCCTAGCCAGTGACGCCCTCATCCCGTTAAAGAAAATAAACATTGAAACCCACTACAATCGTGAACTGAGTACACTGACACCCATTACAGTCTGGTACTGAGCAAACTGAAGAATCACTGGAGTCTGGTCCAAAGCACAGTGAATCCCATTACAGTCTAGTATCAGGCACACTGAAAACTGATTACAGTCTGTCAGCAGAACACTTACACCCGTAGATGTGTATTACCAGGTACAGTAACACCCAATACCATTCAATACACATGCCCATCAATATTTCTCAAATCTATTAACCAGTTATACAGGAAGGATATTATCAAGTTGGAGAGGGGTCACAAGAGATTTACCATGATGCTGCCGGATATAGAATGTTTGAGTTGTAAAGAAAGGCTGGATAGGCTGGGACTTTTTCCCACTGGAGTGTAGAAGGTTGAAAGGCGACCTGATGGAAATTTATCAAATAATGAGGAATAGATAGAGTTAATAGTAGTTGTCTTTTCCCTAGGGTGGGGGATTTCAAGACAAGGGGACACATTTTTAAGGTGAGAGGAGAGAGATTTAAAAAAGACATGAGGCAAATCTTTTACACAGAGAGTGGTTCGCGTGTGGAATGAATTTTTTGAGGAATGGATGCGGGTACAATTACAACGTTTAAAAGACATTAGGATAAACATATGAATAGGAAAGGTTTGCAGGGGTATGATCCAGCAACAGGCAGGTGGGACTAGTTTAGTATGGGATTATGTTCGCCATCGACTGGCTGGATTGTAGGGTCTGTTTCCATGCTGTATGACGCTATGATTATGTTTGAAGAGGTACATTGCTATCTATCACAGTCCAGCATTGTATCACAATGCATGAGATCAACAAAGCATTTCCCAGGAATTTAAAGATATCACAATTGTTCACAATCTATATAGGATAGCCCCAAGAGAATTGTGTTGATTGGTAATGTTCTAGCAGAAGTCTTAATCAGTTAACTAGTAAACCTCATAGCAGAATGCCAGTGGTCAGAGAGGATTGAGGGAAACCAGAGGCACATGTATTTGCCAAAGTGTGAAATTTATGCCACAAGAGAAACGTTTTGTACCATGGATTGGATTCTGTATTTTTGATAACCTGATGAAGGCTTTCATCACAATAAACAGAGCAGCCTTGTGTTAAGTTTTATACATCTGTGGATATCCTGATATAACTGTGAATTTTATGCAGCAGTTTCACAAGGAAATGACCACCAGAGTCACAAATGGAAGGACAAAGTGTTCAGCTCTCTCGAAGAGCAGAAATGACAGGAATTAAAGAGCTCACTCAGATACAGAGACATGTAAAACTAATCAAAAGAAAAAGAAAAAAAACTGGGTTTATGGCCAGAAGTGTTTTATTTCTCATCACTGGTCTATGAAATTGAGCATTCCAATTAGCCAAACAAATGCAAATTTCATTCTCCTCTCAGACCTTTGAACTTGTAGTAATGCTCAGTGTTTTCACTGCAATCAAAACACGATAACCATTACTGATGTATTTTTTTTTTTACTTCTGAACCACAGAGCTCTGAAATGCAAGTAAGTCCCTCTCATGCAGATATCAGTGGTATGCAACTATCAAAATCAGACAAACTCCAATCTTCAAAGGGTAGTCTTTTAACATAAACTAGTATCAAGCCATGCACCTGCTTCAATTGTGCAGTGATAGTTAAGAATCGACTCAAGACAGGCACCTAACACAATGTTTAATAAAACTTCCAATCTTATCGCACTCCAGGGTACATGTGAAATCAGGACAAAGAATTTCTGGACACAGTGGATTCCACAGAAGCTGATGCAGACTTGCTGAACCAGGTACAGCCACTGGAAGGACGGAGGGAAATGGGAATAGAAAAATTGTTTTTCCCCTTTCTTCTGGCATAGCACAGAAGGTGCAGTTACAATGAGCTAAAGGTATTCCTTCTGCGCTTTAAATCACATGATTATGTTTCGTTATATTCCCCAGCTAAAAAGCCTGTTGACCCAGCACTCTTCCTCTCACTCAGGTCTCCATCAGAGACCCATGCTCTGTTGTGCAATGGTCTTTCTATCTGACAAGCAAACACGGGGCACCTTTTTGACTAGGCACAAAGCAGCACGAGTAAAAGTACTGATAGTTCAGTCCAGCAACACGTTCTCCCACTGGAAAGAAATTTCAATAAAAGAAATAGCTCAGAAATAATGAGTTTTGAAGACAAATAATCTCAACGATAAATCACAAAGTTGCTCATATCGATTGAATATGTGCCATAGTGGTTATGAGTGATTCTCACCTCCACGACTGAAAGTGTTCGGTATTTCTTCCTTTCCACCCATCACCTGTTTCATCAGCACACCAATCTTTGGTTGCCTTTGCTTATCAGACGAGTCTACAGAATATAATAGGATATGGGTCAAGCAAAGGTTCCCTGAATATAACAGAACGTGGAAAGTTACTACATCAGCAGAAGTACAGAAAGAAATGACAAGATGCAACAGAGCTCAGAGCAGCAAACAGGTAAAATGCAGATCAGCAGAAAGGAAGCTGGCTGACAACAGACCAGAAGAGATTAACCTACTTCCTAAGTGTCACTCTTCATCCTGAGGAGCATGGAATAAGTCTATATGACATTCCACTCCCTTCCTATGATGATACTCAATACTCCAATGGCAGCCTAACCAAGGAATTTACACGATTGCTGTTGTATTCTATGCCTTTAGATGATAAAACCAAAGGCTTGGCTTACTTTTTTAAGGGCAAAATGGTTACTTTAAAGTGTTTAAAAACAAGAGGTATGGCCACAAGGTAAATAAGAGAATTCTTGGCCATGGTTCAGATCAAAGGGCTCAATGCACACCATTCAAAAGCCTCACCAAGATTAGAAAGTGTTTAATAAGATAAGATGACCAGTGTTGCATCAGTGCCCTATAAGTAGCTTTCCACTCACCACAGTATCAGATATCCTTTAATTCAAAGTCCAGCAGGTACAAGTAGAACAGATTGTATATCTTTGATCGCTTTGTAAGAAAGATCTCTCAAAGACACAACAAACCTGAGCTGTTCATGTGAGATGTGAATCCACCCAGAGTGTTGCGACCACCTGTGTCTGCATAATGTGGCATGGAGTTTATCACTGCCTGGAAATACTTTTCTTGTGCTAAACTGGAGGAGTCCGAATGAGAAGGATCTGAAACAAAAAAAAAATTTCTTGGTAAACGTTCCTTAATGACAGATGAACAAAAACAGCAGTTAACAGATTTGAATTATAGCTGTATTACTCAAATACCGACCCAAATAAATGACAAAATCACAAATCAAAACCATCAGACCACACCTCCTCAACCCTAAACCATATGTTTTATATCACCCAGAACAGTAGACCAAAGATTGGCATCTTACCCAATTCCCAAGCACCCACTCCTTTCACCACCACATTCTCACTTCCCACAGTCTGCAATGCGAACTGGCTCACACTTAACATGCACAACTCCAATGCTGATATCTGACTGTAATCTACAATACTCAGATTCTCGGTTGTAATATCCAGTTTCATTGACCTATTTCAGATATTACCTGCAGCTTATTCACACTTCTTTGTCCACACATTAACACACACATTCCCACTGTCTATAGCCATTCAGAGTTTGTCATGGAGGTTTACAGCATGGAACCAGGCCCTTCGGCCGAACTTGTCTATGCCATCCAGCTTTCACATTTAAACTAGTCCCATTTACCTGCATTTGGTCCATAACCCTCCATACCTATCCCATCCATGTACTTGTCCAAATGCTTCCTGAATGATGAGATTGTACTCGCTTCCACCACTATCTCCGACAGCCTGTTCCAGACACACACTACTTTCTGTGTGAAAAAACTGACCCTCTGGATCTTCCCTCTCACCTTAAACCTATACACTCTAGTTTTAGACTCCGCTTCCATGGGGAAAAGTTATTGGCTATCTACCTTATCTATGCCTCTCATGATTTTATAGACCTCTAAATGGTCACTCCTCAGACTCCTACGCTCCAGGCAAAGAGTTCCAGCCCGTCCTACCTCTCCTTATAAATCAAACCTTCCAGTCCAGGTAGCTTCCAAGTAATTATTTTCTGCACTCTTTCTAGTTTAATAACATCCTTTCCGCAGTAGGGCAACCAGAACTCCATGCAGTACTCCAAATGTGGCTTTACCAACGTCTGGTACAGCTGCAACAAGACATCCCAACTCCTATACTCAATTTGCTGACCAATGAAAGCAAGCATGCCAAAAACCTCCTCCATCATCCTGTCTACCCGTGTCTCCACTTTCAAGGAACAATGAACCTTTACCCCTAGATCTCTTTGTTCTGTAACATTCCCCAGGGCTCTACCACTGAATGTGCAAATCCTGCCCTAGTTTGAACTACCAAAAATGCAACACCTTGCATTTATCTAAATTAAACTCCATCTGCCATTACTCAGCCCCCTAGCCCGGCTGATCAAGATCTCACTGTATTCCCTGAAAACTTCCTTCACTGTACCAACCTTGGTATCATCAAACTTACTAACCATACCTCCTAAGTTCTCATCCAAATCACTCATATAAATGACGAATAACAGTTGACCCAGGACACACCACTGGTCACAGGCCTCCAGTTGGTAAAACTACCTTCTACCACCACCTTCAAGCCAATTTTGCATCCTATTGCCTGGCTCTCCCTCAATCTTGAGAGATTTAAGCTGACTCAACAGCCCACCATGCAGTACCTTGTAAAAGGCCTTGCTAAAGTACATGCAGACAAAGTCTATTGCACTGCCCTCATCTACTTTCTTGGTCACCCCTTCAGCTTGTACCACTCCCACTAACAATACTAGTTCAATACTTCTAATACCACACTCCCAGAGTTTGTAATGCTGAATTTCCACACTGATATCAATATAATGGTTAGTACCTGCAGCTGGTGCATTCTGGGACTTGAACAGACCAACGACACTCTTCCCATGCAGCCCAGCTGATCGCAGGAGCACAGCCTTTGTGCGTGAGTTCCGCCAACACACAACAGGGAAGCGGTTCTGTCTGTAACACCGTGAGATGCGTTGCATTAAACTGTCCTGTATGGTCTGTGGGATAATCAGGAGGCTGGGATAACTGAAATGAGAAAATGTGAAGCCAATGAAAAAAATATTCTGGTGACACCTCAACAGCCTGTGATTTGTCACACATATTAATACTATTACTGAGACACTGCTTTCAGATTCAGCAACTTTCCACTTCTTCATATTGGGCCATAAATTTACTTGGTGCATACAATCCTGTTTATGAGTGAGCTGCTGTGCTAATTACAGATAACATAATGGCTAATATTATGACAGAAACCGAATCCACATGGACTGAGACAAAGGATACAGAGGGATCAGTCACACAAATGGAATATCCAACTGAATGCCGAATAATGGAAGAAGAATATGCAGGCAATACCATAAAATGATAAAAGACAAAATAAACAAGGGACATTTCAAGTACTAAGTAAATTGGCAATAAGAACTAATAGGAAAAGAAATAGGAATAAAATGGAACAGAATCCCTACAGTGAGGAAGCAGACCATTTGGACCAGAGTCCACACCAACCCTCCGAAGAGCATCCAACCAGATGCACCCCCCAACACCCCCACCTTATCCGTGTAGCTCTGCATTTCCAATGGCTAACCCACCTAGCCCGACAATCCCTAGACACTATGGGCAATTTAGTATGGTCAACCTAGCTAACGTGCACGTTTGGACTTTGGGAGGAAACCCATGTGGAGAACGTACAAACTCCAACAGACAGTTGCTCAAGGGTGGAATGAACCCGAGTCCCTGGTGCTGTGAGGCAGCAGCGCTAACACTGAACCACCAAGCCGCCCATGCTGACTAGAAAAGGTAAACTTGGGAAAATATTTTAACACGGATGGAAAAGCAGTAGGAAATATTTCAAAAGGTATTGGAGTTCAAAAGATAGATGCATGAAGAGATTCAAGGTAAAATTGAAGCCAGAGAAATATTGTGTGCACAAACTGTAACAGTAAAAATGTTCTACAGACAAACAACAGAAGAAAACTCAAGATAAATATAAGAACAGGAAGGGTTGCTCAAGAGAAACTGAGTATATTAACATAAGTATCGAATAATTACCGCAGCACTATACTTAGCGGATTAGAAGAGATTACAAAAGGCATAACAACATTTAAGATCAGAGACAGAGATAACCGATAAACTAATCAAAAATAGGGACCCTGATCTGAATGGATTGCATCGCTGCATGTTGAGGGTTAGGAAAAAGACCCCAGAGAAACAATGACATGCACACAAAAATTCCTTCGAAAATTTAATAGCGTCGGGGGGCAAGTGGACAGCTATTATTATTTCTATATTTAAAATGTTAGTCCTCAAATGGGACCCAGAGTATATCCAGGAAACTATATACTCTATACAGAAAACTATAAACCAGTTAACGTCACTGGTAGGAAAGATAGGAGAACTTTAATAGACAAACATCCAGAAAACAAAAATGTAACAGTAGTAAGCACAGATTCCAAAAGAATTTTTAGAAGTAACAGGAAGAGAAAACTGAGATAATGTAGTTGATACATGTTTACAATTTCAGAAGCCTTCAATAAAAGGTACTGAAAGTAGATTTCCGTCAGAGCATGCAGGGTTGGCGGTTAAGTAACAGAATGGATAGCACGCTGACCACAAAGCAAACCAAAGAATTAAAGGTTCGATACTCAGTCTAATGGTATTTCATGGAGCCCAGTGCTAAGGCCACTATCATTTACAATTTGGAGACCACATCAAATTGTGGCTCTCGGCTAACATTGAGGAAAATATATGATACCATTATTAAATCATGTATCATGGGTGTGCAATAAGCAAATTAAGTGCAATAAGAGAGTGTGGATGGGAAGAAAAAGATAACAACATATGCTTAGAAAATAAGCTTCTAACATGAGGTGAGTGAATGGAGGTATGGATTACTAAAAGTAAAAATTGTCTAAAGTAGAATTATGGGGAAATAAGACCACGACTGCGGTTCATTCCCAAGGACGAAAGTGAAAAGCATAATAGTTATGTTTAGATCTTGTTTATTCTGCTTTTGGAGCACAATTAATAGCTCTGGATTTAAAATATTCACAAGAAAGGTATCAGAACTGAAGTCAAGCCAGGTGGAGGTTTAACAGACTGAATGATTACAAAACACAGATCTTCATTGAAAGACTTTAAACAGATTAATACTCCAGATATGACCTTACTGATGATATTCTATTTTTAAACTCCAACCCCCAGCAATAAAGGGGAAAATTTTACTTGCTTTCTTAATTATTTGCTGCACTTGCATGCTAACATTTTTGTGTTTCATATGCAAGAACACCCACATGCCTCTGTGCTCCGCTTGTTTTTGTTTGAGTTTCACCATTCAGAGTCATACAGCATGGAAGCAGACCCCAAAGACACAACTTGCCCATGCCTACCAGGTTACCTAAACTGAACTAGTCCTGTTTACTTGAATTTGGCTCATATCACCCTAAACCTTTCCCATCCATGTGCCTAGTCCAAATATATATTACATGTTCTAACGGTACCCATCTTTATGACTTCCTCTGGCAGTTTGTTCCATATATGCTCTACCCTCTTGTGAGACAAAGTTGCTCCTCAGGTCCCTTTTAAATCTTTCCCCTCTCACCTTAAACCTATGCCCCTTAGCTCTGCACTCCCCCACCCTGGGGAAAACACCTTGGCCATTCACCTTATCAATGTCCCTCACAATTTTAAAAACCTCTATAAAGTCATTCATCAGCCACCTATGCTCCAGCAAACAAGTCCTAGCCTCTCCAACCCCTCCTTAGAACTCAAACCTTCCAGTCTCAGTAAATCCTTATAATTCTTTTTTGCACCCTTTCCAGCCTAATAACATTCTTCCTATAGCAAGGCGACCAGAACTGTATGTAACACTCCAAATGTGACCTTACTAATGTCTCGTGCAGCCATAATATGGCGTCCCAATTCTTGTACTCAATGCTCTGACCAATCAAGGGCAAGTGTGTCAAATGCCTTCTTCACCAACCTGGCTACTTGTGATGCCACTTTCAAGGAGCTATGTACCTGCACCCCTAGCTCTCTGTTTGACAAGGTTCCCCAAGGGCCCTAACATTAACTGCTTAAGTCCTGCCCTGGTTTGTCTTACCAAAATGCAACACCTCACATTTATCTGCATTAAACTCCATTCCCCATTCCTTGACCCACTGGCCCAGTTGATCAAGATCCCACTGTACTCCTAGAAAACCTTCTTCATTGTCCACTATACCACCAGTTTTGGTGTCATCTGCAAACTTACTAACCATATCCCCCAAATTCTCATCCAAATCATTGATATAACATGACAAACAACTGTGGACCCAGCACTGATTTTTGCTGCACACTGCTGGTCACAGGCCTCCAGTCTGAACAACAACCCTCTACTACCGCCAAGCCAGTTTTGCACCCATTTGGCTAACTCTCCCTGGATCCCATGTGATCTAAACTTACTAACCAGACTATCGTGCAGAACCAAGTCAAAGATCTTGCTAAAGTCTACGTGGACAATGTTTGACATTCTGCCTTCATTCACCTTTTCGGTCACCTCTTCAAAATACTCAAATCAAATTTGAGACATGATGTCCTACACAAAAAGCCATAATGACTATCCCTAATCAGTCCTTGCCTTTCCAAATGCATGTAGATCCTGTCTCTCAGAACCTTTCCAACAACTTATCCACCACTGACATTGGGCTCACCAGTCTGTAGTTCCCTAGCTTTTCCTTGCAGCCCTTCTTAAATAATGGCACAATATTTGCCATCTTCCAGTCTTCCAGCACCTCATCTGTGGCTGTTGATGATATAACTATCTCTGATAGGGTTCCTCCAAGTTCTTCCCTAGCTTCCCATAATGTCCTGGGATACACTTGATCTGGTCACAGTGACTTATCTAACTTTGTGTTTTAAGACCTCTTCCGTAACGTGGACTCTTTTTCAAGATGTCACTACATATTTTCCCAAGTTCCTAGCTTCCATGTCTTTCTCCACAGTAAATATGATTGAGAAATATTCATTTAAGATCTCACCCATCTCCTGTCGTTCTTCATATAGACAGCCTTGTTGATCTTTAAGGGGCCTTATTTTCTCCCTAGTCACTCTTTTGGCCTAAGTATACTTGTAGAATCTCTTTGGATTCTCCTTTAGCAAACGCCATCTTCACCACCCAGTCTACCTCCACTTTCACGTAACGATATATCTGCACCTCCAGGTGTCTCTGCCTGGCAACACTTCACAGTACTCTACTATTAACTGTATAAGTGCTGCCATGGTTTGCTACCAACATGCTAAACCTCACATTTATCTAAATTAAATTCCATCTGCCATGTCCTGGCCCATCGGTCCATCTGATCAAGGTCCTACTGTACTCTGAAATAATCTTATCCACTGTCCACTACATGACCTAATTCAGTGTCATCTCCAAAATTATTAACCATGCCTTCTATATTCACATCCAAATTGAAAAGCTGTGGACCTAGAACAGATTCTTGTGGCACACCACTGCTCACAGGTATCTTCGGTTTCTGGATTACTCGTGCAGTAACACTACCAATGCCATCAAGTCCCATAATTTGGAGGCACTCGTGTCTTGACACATTAGAGCACTGTACAAAAATACGCTAAATCAGTAAATTCAAAGCAATTAAATAATCCACAAGCCATCCTCCCGTGTCCCAATTCTCCCAGAATCCCCTACACACACTATTCTCAAATCTCTAAATAAATCTCAGCAGTGTGACTCAACTATGTTGTCATATATTCCTGAAATCAGGGAGTGTGAAAATAATTTAAAATGTTCTGGAAATAACAAGACTGAGAAATCCATAAATATGGGCTGAAGTGAGCTAAGAACCTGATGACAGCTGCAAAAATGGAGTGACAAAAAAAGTTGAAAACAAAGTACAAAAGGATTAACAACGTGATAAAAACCAAAATAGTTGTCGCACTGAAAGAGACAATGGAGTAATGGTGCCCAAAGATTGAGAAATCACTAATATTTAACTATTGTTATTCAAACATGCTCAAAAATAAAGAGGGAGAAATGTCAGAAACTTAAGTGCTGTTTAAAAATGAATGCAGTTTCAAACATTTTAAAATCATAAGGAGGTGTTGCTGAAGGTCCAGGTAGAACAGGTTCCTGGTTCTGACACCTTCTATCATAGGATTTGAAAGAAATTAGCATAATAATTGAGTCTTGTACGGATGTTTCTCAGTTACAGGGTTTGAGCCAACAAAGGACTGGCAAAAGCAAATGCATTTTCATACCAAATGCATGTCAATCTTATTTCTAATGCTAGGAAATGTTTTGAAGTATTGTGACATCAGGTGAGGAAACATTAAAAAGCAACCATTAAACATTTCTGCATTGCACTCAAACTATTATTCATTTCAGGCAATTTAGAAATTAATTTGTCGAAATTATAATTCCTGAAAATGTCCAAACGTAATTGAAATTTTAAGAAAACTCACCTCCTGCAAACACTATACATGCGATTCACTGTGGTTATTCGGAATGGCTCATTCTTCGATCTGGTCAGACTGTTACTCAATGTGCCCAAGCCCAGGCGCTGGTAGTCACGGCAACAAGCTCGCTCTACCATGTGGCTCATGGTAGATTTATCTGATCTAATGGTGGTGGAAAGTGTCAGTGCACTCTGCTCCAGCTCCTCTGAAACTACAAGCAGAAACAGTGTCAGGAGTGTGTGAAATCAGTGAGGAAGCAGATGAGCGGTTTCAGATACAGACACATGGAGCACTGGGAGCACCACCATGTAGGGTACATGATGCCTGCTACATGGTCTGGGCTGACACAAAGAATGCAGCATCATCAGAGGGTCAGTGCAGTACTCTCTCCATATTGCCCCCTCCTCTGACACTGCAGCAACCTGGCGATTGCAACTTCCAAATAGTAGGGCACTCGAGCAACAGAGACTGTTCCAACCGTCTAACTTCCAGCAGTAGAGACTTTCCAATAGTTCAGTACTTCGAGTCTACTGCAAATCTGAAAGTATGATACTCTCTTAGCACTGCACACCTCCAAACAAAGCAGCACTCTTGCAGCACTGTTCCCCTTGACAATGCAGTTTCTCCCTTAATGCATCTCCACGGACACCTCAGTGAAGCCCCTTTGGCAGTGAAATACTCATGCAGCCTTTCCCACTTCTCTATCCCCATCACTGATTACTGAAAAATATTGCACACTGTTCCTAAAAAGTGCACAGTGCTTTATCAGCCTATATCTTCAGTGATCCATATATCCTCAAACAGCCCCTCCAACACCTCACCATCTTCTCAGTATCGCACAGTACAGAATGCAGAACTCATGCGATGAGAAGCATCTTCACTCTCCACCAAACACTATGCCCCATTTCTCAAAACCTGGATCCAGTCCAGACTGACTACATACCAGAGATTTGGTCCAGGTTGTCAGCATGTGGAGGTGTGGCTCGCTGGTCCCAGGTCGGGGGTGTATATTTCTTTCTAGTCACATACTGCCGTCCAATTGTTTTCTTTGCATTCTTCATGATATTCTTGGACATGGTTCTGTACAATAGGAAAAACTTTTAACTTAAAAGGGATGGATTTCTCCTGATGTTTGGCATTCGATTAACTGAAAACAATCTATAAATTGCAAAGTTCTGATACAGATCTCAAGCATGCCCGAGAGTCTCTGACGTCACACACTGTAGCAACACAACATTGCTAGACCCAGGGCTATGCACATTACTGCTTCAGAATCCAGAAGAAATCCACCTTAAGTTTAAAATATACCAAGCATGGGAAAGCGCACAGTACACATCTGACAAGAGCACACCTTTAGTGCCCTGCACCATAGAGGCTCAGCCCCTTCCCTTGGGCTCAAATATCATGGGATTCAGGACCCGCTCCTGTAATGGCACTGAGAGGTGTATTTTGATGCCTTTAACCATCTAAATGTGTATTTTATTTCCCCATGGATAAACAAAGAACAGGAATTTTAAATTAAAACCTTTTAGTACCAAATATCAAATAGGTCAGTGAGCACAGGGATAATGGGCAGAAGGCATAGTTTTGAATGAACTGAACTTGAGCAGCAATGGAAATCAGAGCATAAGAATACACAGTGTGGAGCTGGAGGAACACAGAAGGCCAGGCAGCATCAGAGGAGCAGGAAAGCTGACTTTTCAGGTCAGGACCCTTCTTTCTTGCTCCTCTGACGTTGCCTGGCCTACTGTGTTCCTCCTGCTCCACACTGTGTTATCTCAGACGCCAGCCTCGGCAGTTCTTACTATCTCAGAGCATAAGAATAGTTGTTTGAAGACACTAAAGGTTTTAGCAGATGAACTACAGAGCACAAGAACAAGCCATTTGCAAGAGGTCAAAAAGTAGGTGGAGACATGACGGCATGAAGGAGAACAAGGAGTGGGAAGCAGCTTTTTGTGGGGCGATGGTGGAAGGGGGCCTATTGAGGTTGGGGATGTGGAAGAGGTGATGAAAGAGACTGATGGCAGGGAAAGCAGATAAAAGGCACGACATCGGAGGTTTGGAGGAGTTTAATTAGGAGAAGCTGATTTAGACACTTTTGGGTGGGTGGGAATGTTACAGATGTGGTACTGGCAGAGGCATTTTTTTTTTGGATGGGTGTTGCTAACATGGAAGTTTTGGGGAAAAAAAAATACATTAAATTACTGGACTCCAAATTTGAGTTGAATTACACACCTGTACTTAGCTGCAGGATAGAAACTGCAAGTTTTTTCTCTATCCATGCTATGTACTATTCATCCTCACAAGCCACCACAGGCAGGAACCTGGTTAGCAGGAGTTTGAGAGAGTCAGGGAATGCCGAGTAAATGATGAGTTCTTCAATCTTTAGATGTTAATAACGTGAAACAAGAGCTGGTTATGATTTGGTGGCAGACCATATTCAAAGCGCACAGCACTGCTATTGAAAGCTACTCCTGCAGAGTTGGGTTCATAATTATTTACATATGCCCTCTCCAGCTCACCTCAGCGATGGATTCTTCTCCTTCTGCTTCGGTTCTACGATTTGCTTGAGTGACTGACCCACACTGAACGCAAAGGTGCTGTGTACATACTGTGGGTACCTCAACTTATGGATGTTTTTTCGAAATAATTCCACCATTTCAGATGCCACCTCTTCATCAAAAGCAATCTTTATCAACTGTTAAAAGATATGAAAAGGAACAGATCTTGAAATGACAAATGCATTGAAGATATAGGACGCCCCAGCAAAGATGTCTCTCTAGAAATTATACAACTTACTGTATGATTTTTCAGTACACTGGAAACATGTAAAAAGAGAAGTGGTGGGATGGAATCTATTTAATTTGGAAAGTGGATAAATTATTTTTTACCCTGATTGCATCTCTGCAAAACAGTTACCTTTATAAAATAAGAGAGGAGGTTGTTGGCTCATCTGCCCCAACCAACTCTAAACACAAGCTGTAAACAGATAGAAACTACTCTCTGAAAGGGGTACAACCACAGAACAGAGTTTAGCAGAGAATCAGATGCACAAATAAGAAAAAATTAGGAAAACAAAACAAATGGGGAATCATTATGGATTTGAGAAAGTATATTATGAAGAGAAGACAGACTGCTTAACCTAAGAAAGCAAATCAAGATGTCAACAAAATGCAAAAAATGCATTTAATTTTCTACTAAATAAAACATACAGGCTGTTTTTAAAAGTAAATCATTTAAATTTTTTATTAAAACTAAGCATAATAAATCAGTTTTCTATTTTTGCAATTAAGTTTTGTTTCACATCAAATTAAAAATTGTGTTCATTATAAAAATAATTCTGATGGATCTTTTTTCTTTAAGTCTAATAGAGAAAATATCTAGTTTTTTCAGGAATTGAGTAAAACAATTAAATTTATAGTCATTTGGTAGTTGAGAACTTGAGTACTACCGTGACCCGAATCAATTTGCCTAGTTTAAAATTTAAACAAAGCTTCGTAGTTAGTTGTCAATCACTATTAACTGGTGTATTCTCCAAGGCAACGCCTCTACAAGAGTCCACCTACCAACCAGGCAGCACCATTCTCTCATACAATATAAACATTGGTTTCCTCTTAAACTGGTATTCTTGCTAACAGTCTTGACTAAAAAATGAGAAGCTTTAACAAAATGCGCATTATCAGCAATATTAAGTTATATTCATGTTTGTGATCTGTATAGTAGACAGACTAGAGAAAGATCGCACATGCCTCCCATCTCAGACCTCCTAATCTATGGAATACAGACCGTCAAGCAGACGCATCAGGTAAATAAGAGATCACAAGGAGCATTGGTCAATGGTCCCGTAGTCTTACCTGAAAAGTGGAGGAACGCAATTGGAGCTTATCCTGGAAATCTTGGCCAGTGCGTGACGGCAGATTAATCTTCTTCTCTTTGGTGAAAGAGGCAACAGGGAATGAACGAATCACAGTCTGTTCCCCAGCTAACAACATGAAAAGAAAAATGAAACACTTCAAAAATCCAGGGCCTCCTTACACTAAAAAGCAAAACACAGGCATGGTTTACATTAACCCAATGTCTTCGATCAGATTCCAGCCTGTAACTTTCTCCCAGATATTCTTTATTCCACATATAAAGAAGGGATGGTGGGACAATGGGAACGTCATTTTACTAGTAATACTCAAGCTAAATGTACTAGGGATACGGGATCAAATCCTACCAAGGCAGACAGTGAAGTTAGAATTTAATTAAATCTGGAATTAAAAGCTGGCCTAATGGAGATCACTTTCAATTGCTGTAAAACCCAACTTTCACCAATGTCCTTGAGGAAAGGAAATATGTTGTCGTTACCAGGTTTGGCCCACATATGTCTCCAGATCCACAGCAACGTGACTGAATCTTACTTAGCCTCTGGGCAATTAGAGATGACCAATAAATGCTGCATTGCCAGTGATTCCCACATCTCATGAACAAATTTTAAAAATGTAAACTCTCCTAAATCGGAATTAAATTTTGGCCTGTAACCCGCTCCTAAATATCTGTTATTATACATATAAATGTGGCTGACCTTTGCTGTAACTCACTCCTTTGGTATCTGTCATCCTGCATATAAATTGCCCTAACCTCTAAATTACAGCCTCGTCTCCAAGTCTCATAATTGATGAGCTGTGGCAGGCCTGTTTCCAATTTCTTACCTAGTGTTTCCAGGGGTACCCCTTTGAAGATAATGCGGTAGGTGGTCAGGAAAATGGCACCTTCTGCAGGGAGGATGGGAGGACCTCCCAAAGAACCACTCACTGATTCCTCTCGTCCATCTGGCATCAAGCACACTCGCAATCCTTCCATTACCATTTCCTCTCCAATCAGCAGTGTGGGCCGCAGAAGTTTAGGCTTAAGTCAGAACCAAATGAGAGCACAAAAGAAATTATTAATGACCAAAGAAACTCAATTTGAGGCATATAAACAAATTGCTTCTACAGCCGTCAGATTGAGACTTGATAATCAATTCCATATCATTTTGAGGCACAACACCTACAGAAACATTCAACCTTCTGCTCAATTCTGATGCATAGATGCAACAATTGGATATAAACTCTGCTAAATATAGAACCTGGTATAACTGGTATAATTGTCTGGACAGTCAGACAGCTCACTGAGAATTGTGAACATACTCACCTTCTGAATAGGGGGCAGGCGTTTGCTTTCTCGATGAACAGCATCCAATGTCTCAATGTGCATCTGCACAATGTCTGCAGAAGGAGAAACATAAAAACTGTGAAACAGAGGTCAAAATAAAGAATGAAACCCAGGCAACACATACAGTATGGCAGAAATGGAGACCAATTCCACTCATTGACAACAAAATCAGAAATTGCTGGACAAACTCAGGCTTGGCAGCATCTGTGGAGATGAAGTTAACATTGAGTTCAGTGAACTTTCTTCAAAACCCACCAGTTGGTAAGTCTGAAACAAGGATGCATGGATATCAGATTTAGAGAGAGCTGGACCTACATTTACATGTTATGATCCCAGCTAATAATGCCGGATATATCAGATTCCAGAGTGAAACCTGGCTTGATAGACCATATGTTTTATTTTGGCAATTTGGTCGCTGTAGTGGTCATTCATTGAACAAATTCACACAAGGCTGTTGATGTAATTTTAAGAAAAGGACACAAGTTCACTCCACAAAAGAAGCAAAACAAAAACCCATTTACTCCTATTCTAGAACCAATTTATATGGACAGCTGGTTTGTTTTGCAGAGTGATGCCAACCGTGTAGAGTCAATTCCTGCAATGGTTGAGATTATCATGAGGATACCGCTTTCTCAACCTCTGGTCTCACATGAAGTGTGGGAACCCTCAAATTAAACCACCACCAGTTGTCTCTCTCTACGGCCCTTTCAGACGATAGTGTCTGTACTGCACAAATCCATCAACACAAGCATATTAAGCCCTGCCAAGGGTAATACAGTACTCGTTAATTTCAGAATAAATTCCCCTTCACACTGATCCATAAGCATTGGATGGATGCACTTTACTGTCAAACAGGGCCAGTGAAAGCTTTAGTGGCACAACAGCAAAGCATTTATGACCCTCAACACTTTTCACACAGAGATGGGTGAATATCTAAAGCTAGAAAATCTCAGTTCACCTGGTAAATTGGCATGCAGTGCTTTTAAGTGATCATTACTGACACCGCTCTCCGTACAAACTTTATCCACAAATCTGTTGATGAATCGAACCACTGAATTTGCCACATCAGACGTCTCTGCATCCTCAAACCCACTTTCAGTATCATAGCTTTCTGCCACACTGCCTGCAATACTGTAAAGTGGATAAAGTCAATCAAGGCAGAGCATGGAGTTCCACAATAGTATGATCAGAAATTACATCACTAAATACAAGCTAATATAACTCACAAAGGTTATAGACCACTTGGAAAATCTGTAGTATTGCAGATTAATTCAGCCTTTTAACAAGTGTTTCAACAGAACTTTATACTTGTTTTTGATATTAATTTTCAAACTTTATCTTCTTTGGCTGGAAAACTTAGCCTGCAAGTAACTACAAATGGATGCTGGAATTTCACTGATTGACCAGTAAAACAGGCTTGGGATTCGCTATCCCCGTGACGCCTGGTAAAGACCAATGGTCTTCCGCCTTCAGTGACCAGTAACACAGGCTGGGAATCGATGTCCGAGAGTGACCGTTAGCACAGACTGGTGCTTCACTGTCTGGAATTGACCTCTAGCTGTAGAATTTCACCAGGTTTGAGTGTGCCAATGACCGCAGATTGGGGTTTCGCTGTCTTCGAGTGACTATTAAGAAACAATGAAGAAGTGAGTGATTTTAGTCCTGACCTGTTTGTTACAAAGCTGTTGCTCACACTCTCCAAGTCTCCAACAGCTGTACTGCGGAGCAAGCGATTCTTGCTCGTATCAAGTGGCAAGAGCAGGTAAGTAAGACGATTTCCATAATGAATGGCCTGACTGTATACTATGCTCTCCTCTTTATCAATCAGTTCTTGTTGCTTCTCTTTGCTGCGAGTTGGCCACACACGTAATTGTTCCGCCGCCACTTCCAATGCTGAGCTCTGTTGCTTTTTGACATGGTCATAACCCTTTAAAACAAAACAATGATGCTGCAAACATTTTGGCCAATCTGTGAAACCTTACAAGACATGACATACCACACAGTTAAGCAAGTACGCAGCTCCTTCCTGTTGTTAACATCCTTCCTATTGGGTCTATAGTTCATTTAGAATGACTGCTCTCTTCAGTGTGTTGAACCGGAACTTGAAGTCAGTTGTTTAGTTTTTATTTTAGTCATTGATGGGATGTGGGTTTCGCTGGCATGGCCAGCATTTACTATTCTTCCCTAATTCCCCTTGGAAAGGTGATAGCAAGATACCTTCATGAATCAATGCAGACCATTCAGTGTAGGTGCATCCACAGTCCTGTTTGAGAGAGAATTTCAGGATTCTGATCTATCAGTAAAATAATGACAATATATTTCCAAGTCAGGATGGTAAGTGCTTTCAAAGGGAACTTGCAACTGGTGGTACTTTCATGTAACTACTAGCCCTGTTCTTGTAGATTATTATGACCATAGATTTTGAAGATGCTGTCTAAAACGCCTTGGTGAATTTCTACAAAGCATTTTATAGATTGCAATAGAGCATGTACTGAATTTTGACAGTGGAGGGAGTGAACGTTTGCGGATTTGGTGCCAATCAAGCAGGCTGCTTTGCCCTGGATTAGGTCAATCTTCTTGGGCGTTATTGCAAACGCATTTAACCATGCAACACCAGACTTGTGCCTTTGTATATGGTGGACAGGCCTTGGGGAATCAGGTGGTGAGTTACGTACTACAGAATTCCTAGCCTCAGACTGGCTCTTGTAGCCATAGTATTTATTTGGTTAGTCTAGTTCAGTTGCTGGTCGATGGTAATCCCCAGTATGTTGATAGCCAATGATTAAAACTAAATAAAGATGACCTTTTTGAAGAAGGACAGAGCCAAGAATCAAGGAGATAATGCAAACTTTGTCAAAAGCCTGTTTAGGCAACATTCAGAATATAGGGTCAGGTGCTGAGTAAAGGGGAAATGTTAACAAGTGATTCTCTGTCATGCACTAAGGCCAGACCAGTCCATTACTTACTGATTCCAAAGGATGGTCACCATCGACTTCCAAATATAATGCTCGGATATGGTTCTGTACATCGCTGTAAAACATGGCCTCCCAGAATTGGAGGTTGGTCCACACCAAATGTTCTTGTACACAGCTGTAAGCAAACTGTGTGACACCAGATCCCAACTTCTGCAAACATTGAGGTTATCTGTTTAAAGATAATGTCTAATTCCCATGCGTGCGTTAATATAAACACACATCCTCAAATCTACAATTACTACCAAGAAACAAAGTGAATTTACACCTTGAACAGAATAAATAAACTGCACCATACTTTATTTCTAGAAATATAAACAGAACTGCAAATGACCACGTCAGCAAATCATAACCGATTTTTGCCCCATCTGGCATTTGCATGCGAGTCTGCTACCCTGAAAGTGTGCATCAGTGTCCCTACATTGCCTTGTATGCACGTGGTTTGCCAGTGCTACTTTTGCTTGCGTGTATTTGCATGGTGTGTATTGCCATGTGTATGGATGAGCACGTCTGGCCATCTGCATCGGTGTCTGTGTATTGCCCTGTGTTAATTGTTTCAATTCAATGCCCTTCAAATGAAAGGCCAGCACCTGAACCATTAACTGTTTCTCTGTCCACAACTGCCAAACCTGCTAGATATTTCTGAAACTTTTGTGTTTCTGAGCTGCAGTTGTGGGTGAGCCTCCCTGAACTATCGGTTCTGTATGTTTGTACAGGTCTCTTCAGCTATCTTGTGCTTATGTTAAAGATGACCACGTGCTGTCGTGTACTCTTTAGAATGCACTTACTCTGCAGAAGGCAGTAACTAGTGGAAGTAGAGCTGCAGCAACTAAATGCTCATCCAATGGCATACAATCCTGTAACAATAAAAAGTAATTTCAGTCACTATATTTTTGACACACGACCCCCATCTTACCCACCTCCGCACCAACACCTCTCAGTATGTCTGACATTTCTGCTCCCTACTACACAGGGAATCAGATCAGCCAGGGTTTGCAATGGAGTAGTGCTATAGGGGGATGGGAGGCACAGAAGGTGACAAAGTGAGAGGGAAAGATAACATATTGACTGTTGAGCTGCGGAATTTGATCCGATGATGATTTTCAAATGCAACTTTAATAAGTGCTATAAGCAAACATTAACAGGACCGTAAGACAGCAAGCAATAGGAACAGGAATGGGCCATTTAGCCCCTTAAGTCTGCTCTACCATTTAATAGGATCAAGGCTGATCAACATTTCTCAAATTCACTTTCCTGTTCTTCACCCCGTAACCCTTGATTCCACTAGTGATCAGAACCTATCTCAGCCTTAAATATACACAAGGGCTCTGTCCCATAGCTCTCTGAGGCAAGGTATTCCAAAGTCCCTCATCCCTTGAATTGGTAACTTTCGGGACTTAAAGTAGACTTCATGTGAAGGGGTTTTTAGGGGAATGACCAGTGTCTAACAAGGAGCAGAAAGGCAAAACCTAGTGAAGTGACAAAAATCCATGATCAGCTGGAAAAGCTGAAACTAGCTGCATATTTTTTGCATTCTTGTGAACAAGTTTGAATAGCATACCTGCAGAGCACAGTTCATCATCCGGACAACATAATCGAACTGTTGGTGGTCAAGGACAGCTCGATTTTGCAGAACATGTGAATTCAGCTCCTCAGTGAGGCATTGGCGAGCAGCACGCCCTTTCAGGGCTCTTAACACAGCAGGAAGCAACTATGCGGGGACAACAGATTTGTAAATATTCTGAAAAATATTTGCGATTAAACCTGCACGTTAAGCAACTTTTCTTAGCTGTAAAGGCAAAGTTGCCTCACCAAGGTTTTGAGGAATGAACTTTCCTCAGATCATCTCATTTTCCACAATCAAAACAACAGGAATACGCTGTTAAGCCGTCTCTGGACTCTCACATGAAACGTTCCCTAGACAGGTGCTACATGGGTTAGATACAGAATAAAACTTCCTCTGTCTCTTTAACATACTTCAGCACATATCTTACAGAACACCTTGTGCTACTTCAGCATGTAATCATCCCAATGATCTCATCAGCTCTTTCACAGTCTGTGCAAATGAATGGCAGTGCTATCCGTCAGTGCCACTTCCATTAGCAACTAAGAATCATTAGAGCTCTCAATACAGTTATTCAACAAGCTAATACACAATTAAATAACAAGTTTACCTTTTTGGCTTCTAACATTTTGTTTTCAAATATGTAGGTTATGCAATTCCTGACAACCTCTAACCTTCGAGCACTGTTGGCAAGAATGATACCATTTTGATCAATCGTCGTAGCTTTAAAAAAGAAAGATTATTTAAAGAATTTTCAGTCAAATGAGCTACTATCAATATTCACCCCATCTTTAGCATATACCAAAATTGTGCTCCTTGTGCTTAAATAACAAACACATAACAAACTCCATCTTTCCAGCAAAGAGATGACCATCATGGTAAACTCACCACTTGGAGGTCCCATTGGCACCATGCATTTCATCTCAGCTTTAACTGCAGGTGGGGCATTCTTCAATTTGGCAGTGGCCTGGTCGATGATCCACTGCACTGTTCCCTCATCCAGGTGAGGGAAGGCACTCTGTTGCACCCGTAAATGGGAGCCCTCTTTTGGTTTCTGTATTTTGTGCATAGCAACTGCAGGATAAGGGTTCTCCTGTTAGAAGGACAGAATTGAAATGATTACCTAAGGATATCTTAATTGGAGCCATTTACAGTTATTACTCTTGCCATCACTTATGGAATTTTTTTTTTTTGGGGGGGGGGGGGGGGGTGTGTGCCAGGGAGGAGAGGTTGTGTAAGAAGTGGACATAAGAAAGGAGGTTTCAAAGAGCAAGTCACCACTGCGCCTCACTTGCGTCTTCAGGCACTATTCAATCCTCTGCCCTGGATTATCTCTCCTCATCCCAACTCACATCAGCAGCCAACACTCAGTTACAAACTCCACCAAAAAAACTGCGGTTCCTCTCATGAAAATCTTGGACATCCTGATTTAGAAATTCAAAATTCTTCAAATGAAACTGTCAAGCTCTTCCTGCATCAACAGATAAACAGTCTCATGGCTGTAAACACCGTGACTTTTTATTTTCCTGTATTTTTGACTGTGGACTGAAATCTAAAAAGAATGATTTTTTTTAAAAATCAAAATTCATAGAATCATTAGAATCCCTACAGTGTGGAAACAGGCCATTTGGCCCAACAAGTCCACACCACTCCTCCGAAGAGCATCCCGCCCTCACTCATTCCCCTACCCCTGCATTTCCCCATGTCTGGGCACTACGGGCAATTTAGCATGGCCATTCCACCTAGCCTGCACATCTTTGGACTGTGGGAGGAAACCGGAGCACCCAGAGGAAACCCATGTAGACACAGGGAGAATGTGCAAACACCACACAGACAGTTGCCAGAGGGTAGAATTGAACCTAGGTCCCCGGTGCTGTGAGGCAGCAATGCTAACCACTGAGCCACCGTGCCACCCGACCCTGTTGAAAGCAAAAGGTGGGCATAAAATTAGTGCAACCAAAACCTCATATCATCAGCAAAGATTTGGAAGGAATCCAAAAGGCCTGAAAAAAATAACTTGTTACATCTGCTATGCAGAATGGTAACAGAACTGTGCTTCTGACTAGTTTCCTTGTGTTGTCTCTGTATCTGTTTATAGGGCATTGGAATTTTAAGAAAGGGGCAGAGTTTAAGTCATAGAGTTACAGATTAGCAATTCAACTTGTCTACTTTTACCATTACTTAAAAATAATGTGTGATTAACCAGAAATCATTTATTAATTGCAATGGAAAGAAAACTGGCATCCATACTCTTTTAACATGAACAATGTAGAACTGGGTAATTTTGTGGTTTAAGTTAAATTTTCGCATTTGTGATGACTCCTGGAATACTGGAGCTTGATTACCAGCACACTACCCCAGCGAACCATGACACAACATGCAAACATTAGGGAATGGCCCCATTTCTGATCTTAGAACAGAGGCCAGGTCATTGAGGTAACAGCTGAAGGTGGCTGGGCCCAGGCCACTAACCGAAGGAACTTCTGCAGTAATATGCTGGGACAGAGGTTTGAGGCTGCAAATGAGACTTTGAACTGAGTGACCTTCGCGCATTCTTCATTGAGCCAGGCTCGATTTCGTGGTACACTGGGTGATATGCCAAGTCACAATTGTGGTTCAATACAATTGTATGGTTGATAACTCACAGCACCTCATGGTTACCTAGTTGAATTGCTAGGTCTGTTCAAGTCTGCCCCAGTTAACACAATGGCAGTAGCACAAACATAATGGAGAGTATCCTCAATGTGAAGACCGGACATGGTGTCCATGGTGACTGCATGGTCATTCCTACTACTGTTGTCATGGACAGATGCATCTGTTATTAGTGGATTATGGAGGACATGTTTTTCCCCTTGTTAGACCCCTCAACCAACTGGTGACCCAGACAAGCAGTCATATACTTCAGCACTCAGCCAGCAGTAGTGCTATTGAACCATTCTTACTTGTTGAAAGATTACTATACTTTTGAAAAGCAAGTAACCTGGCTCTCATTCTAAGTGCTGTTTCCACTGCTGTTCAAGCAACTAATGAAAGTTCACAGATGAGCTAGAGCCAAGGAGAGTATACGAAGAGAGCTTTGGCTGACAACAAGCAGCTGATTTGTCTATGGAATAGTGACCAGTTATCAGAGACAAGGGCCTTCTGCCTGCTAACAACTTTGTGATTGGCTCCTGTGTCGCTGCACAGCCTATGGATATGTGTAAGATAGGGAGAAGCCATTAGATCTCCACAAAGCCAGGAGGTTTTGCTCTTTGCTGCAGTAAAAACTATCTGAAGGCTGAAGAAAGCCAGTTTGTTTGTTTCCCTCAGCAGCTGCTGTAATCTGTGGCTCTTGACCAGTAAGACAGAGTCTTTATAAGTGTGAACCAGCCAGCCTAGACCTTCTGCATGCCAGTAACTGAAGGAGAACAAAGGAACAGCATGTCTTAACAAGCAAAAAGGACCATCTTGTGAGATAGGGACTAATGAACTGCCTTTCTAGTCTTTCCCACCACCTGTGTTTTTTGCTCTGTGTGTGTGAAAGGGTCAGTTTATAAATGAGAGTTAGTTTTAACTCGTAGAGTTCAATGTCGATGGTTCATAATTGTTTATCTGCAGTTAGAACCTATTTATTTGTGATAAGTAGTCATTGTTGAGTACAGAAACCTGGTCCTATCTTTCTGTCAACCACAGTCAAAAGACAGGTAAGTTTCAGGAATTTTCTGTCCTTCTTTAAAATCTCTAACTTTTGTGACAATTTTGGAATAGCACTGCTTGACATCTAGCAAGCTACCTCAACGTGGTGCAACATGGCTAAAAGGATGAAGTCAACTCCCCCAGTACCAAAAAAAAATTTAATCCCAATTTTAACTTACAAAATCTACATCTAGCAAATGCTGAAATCATCAAATTTCCATCAACATGCCCTTGAGAGTATTGCCCTGTGAGTGCACTGCTCTTATCAAAGCTATTCATTTAAATTAGGGACATACATTCCGGTGAAGCTGTTCGGATATTTCTTTCACATGTTTCAGAACTTTCTGTGGACTTCCCTCCTCCAATCGTACTCTCTCAATTTCATTTGCTACCAACTGTAAACAGAAACAGAAAGCATGCCCCATGATGACCATTAATCAATCAGGATCTAATCATATATTATGCAAGCACAGCACTATAATTACAAAGATGCACAACTGACGCAAGAGGTTATATCTGACCCAAGTTGCCTTTTCACGGACCATCAGGGAGTTCCATAATCTCCTCTCATACATTGTCTCCATTGCCTCATTTCTTGTCATAGTGGCATAGCAGTAATGTTACTGTTCTAGTATATCAGAAGCCCAGATTAATCCTGTGGAATACAGGTTCAAATTCCATCACGGCAGCTGGTGGAATTTAAATGAAATTAATAAATCTGGAATTAAAAGCTGGTCTAATGGTGAACATAAAACCATTGTCAATTATTGTACAAACTCCTCAGTTCACAGAAGTCTTTTAGACAAGGAAATCCACTGTTCTTACCCAGTCTGGCATACGCATGACTCATGACTCTCAACAGTGTGATTAATTCATAACTGTCCTCTGTAGTGCCTTAATAAGCCATACAGTTGAAGGTCAGTTAGGGATGGGCACAAATACTAGTCTTGTCAGCAAGGCTAACACGCCATGAAAGAATAAAAAAAAGGAATTCTCATATGTTGACATGGGTGACCCTAAGGCAGTTTTTTCATGTCATGCTTCAATGGGAGATTAGACAGAACCACCCTTTCACATACTGACAGTGAGGCCGAACAGGATTACTCTCTCACTCTAATGGGGCCTCAGGCAGGGTCATGATCATATATTCCAAGGAAAAGGCCAAGCTGCATCACCTTTCCACACACCTGATTCAGAGTCGGGCCTGGTTACCTTCCAAAGGAAGGGTTCATTTGGGTCATCTTCCCATAACTTAGTCATCTATTCTTGAAGTCAGTGGTTGAGGCCAAGGTGCAGTTCAACCAATAATCTGCACTTAGTTTCGAGTACAGAAGTGTAGAGAATGGAAAATATTATTGAAATCCAGACCTTCCAGCAACCTGTGGTCCTCTAGGTTTCAATAACCCTGCTTTACATTCCACATTCACAATCTTTATAATTCTGAGAATCACAGATCCTGAATTAGATAAGCCCAGTGATCACTCACCAATTTAAGATATGTAGGGGAATCTAGAACTAGGACAGTTTGAAGATATTGCGTGTTGCATATGAGATGGAGATGAGAAGGAATTTCTTCTCTCAGCATTGTAAACCATTGTAATTTGCTAGCCCAGAGAACAGTGAAGACTTACAGACAGGTTTTAGATCCTCATAAAAGTCAAGATTTAGACGGGGCAGGCAGGAAGAGAGGTCAGACAACAATCAGAAAAGCCATGAATAACAGAGCAGGCTGAGGTGGGCGGGGGCAAATTACTTATTGCTACTACTATTTCGTATGATCCTACCTCATCAAACAAGTCACATGGTCGATATGGTGAGCCTCTTTCTGATACAAACCGTGCAAAAGCCATTCCATCAAGAACTTTCGTCAGAAATTCATCATCTTGTAAACCGCGTTGGGCCAAAAAGGCTACCTGTGCCAGCAGAAAACAATTCATGAGTCACAAGCAACCTCATTAAACATTAGCAGTGCCTAAAAGGTCACTTTCGAATAATGTCATCATTGATAATCTTTGAAAAATGTAGTATTCCAAAATAATCATCATTACAGCCTTCACGACCAGTGACTTGCCATTCAACTGGACTCAGAAGTACGTGCCTGGTAGCGCGCAGTTGCTGCAACCAGCACACTTCCTGTACTGTGCAAATACCACAGCAGTATGTTTCCTTAAGTGTATGGACAGCCTTGATGGTCCACTACTTGGGCCACATGATTTCCCCCATGCTGGTATACTCTCGGCACTGCCAGTCGGAGTGCCCGTTCCTGTATGCATCCTGTACTATGCAATCATATCTTTTGGTAAGCTCACTCTATTGTCCAAGTGCTCCTTGCCATTGTGCTCTGGGTACTGTTAAGCATTCTAACCAGTACACTTCCTTACTGTGCAATCATCCTTGTCTGCTGAGTGTGTAGGCTGTATACTTGCACTATTACTACTCCTGCTTGCAGGTGCAAGACACTGAGATGAATCGTATCTGTACGTTCCATACCTTTCCACCATATACTACTCTCTAGCCTCTGTATGTACCCATCATACCTTGTGAAAACGAATGACTGGCTCCGGATGGATGCGGATAATTTGCAGACACCACCGATAACCCTGAAACAGCTGTGCAAACAAGCGCAGAAAGACAGCACGGATCTCCTTATCCTGGCAAAGCACACAAAGTTAGCTGGAATATTAACTACAGAGAACTAATTTCATGCAAGAGATCTTTACAGCTTTATTACAGTTAAAATTATAGCGACAGACCTTAAAAGATTATAATATTGCTAACATCAGGCAAGAGCTAACTAACATTCGAACAAATGCGGTGCATTGAGAAAGGACCATGCATGGAGAATGGAAATCCCTCTGCCATAGAAGATCAAGTAAACTCAAGAGAGGAAGAAAAATAGCTTGCATTTATATAGTAATTTTCAGGATAACTAGGAATCTCAAAGTGCTTCACAGCCAGAGTTGAGATTTGGTTCAAGTTATGAAATTATGTTCTATACTGAGGGAAACTTAGGAATTTCTAGACAAGGACAGACCAAGGTACATCTAGTTTGCTTTTATTATCTGGGTTGGCATGAACTGCAATAATACAGCTGACTAATCACTATAATCAAGTAATCGGCAACAGACCCAGGTATGAGAGAAGGAAAACTTCAAGCAATGAAAATCTTTCAGAATGGGAGATTGACGGAAATGGGAAGAAGCGGGTGGGCGATGGCAGAGTGTGGGCAACGGTAGAGGGGCGGAAGAGGGAGGGCAATGGAAGGGGTAGGAGAAGAGGGAGGGTGATGGAAGGGGAAAGAGAAAGGGCAAGGGTGGAAGAGGGAGGGTGAAGAGTGAGAATGAAAAGGGGAAAGTGGGAGAAGGGGAGAAATTTTTAAAAATGGGCCTAACCACGTAACCACTGTTCATTATCATAAAAACCCATCTGATTTACTCAAAGAAATCTGATGTCCTCTCCCAATCTTCCGGACCCACAGCAATGTCCTTGTCTCTTAATTATTGGGTAAATAGGATGGCAATAATATTATCAGACAGGGACGTCCACATCCCGTAAATGAATGAAAAAAAAAACGTCCACTGTTTTCCCACCATCTGTCTTGACCTATAATGGTTCTCAACCTGGTGACATTTTGATTTTAAAATTCTCATCCTTTTGATTAAGGTACTTGTGGCTTCCATCCCTTGTTGATGCAAACTCTTCAACGCCACCCCCGCCTCCCACTTCTGAAATTTTTGTACCCCTTTAACACGACTTCTGGTAAATGTACAATTTTCATTGTTCCACTAATCACAGTCTTGTGTGGTGCGACCTGGGCTATAATCTCTGGAATTCTCTCTCAACTGTGTCCATCTCACCATCTCGCACTTTTTCTTTAAAAAACTCCTTCAGGCCTACCTCCCAAGAGATTTTTGCCATCTAATAAACATCTCATGTGACTTAATTTTTTTTTGGCCATTTTTCCTGTGAAGCAAGTTGGGACATAGGACTATATTAAATGCAATTTACACAAGATGCTATTTGTAAATGGCAAAGCTTTAAAAAGAGAAAAACAAATTTAAGACATCAGTTAAGCAAATCTTTAAAGTTTCGAAAAATTGTTGATAAAGGCATAAATAAAAGCATTGGGGTCCTAGCTTTTACAAATAGGAGCAGAAACACTTATCATTGTGGACCCCAATTAGAATATTATGTACACTTCTGGTACTTTTGAGATACACACAAGGATAATACCAGGCATGAGAGGTTTTTCTTATGTGGAAAGAAAGATATTGGGATGCTTTGCTGGGTCTAATCTTAACCTTACCTATTGAAATGCAGGGAAATTTATAATGTTTAAGGGCTTTGATAACAGTAAACCAACAATCACCTTTTCTACTGGCTAATAAGTAAATAAACCAGCATAAATTTCAAATTAGCAGTGTGTCCTGGGTAGTTTTTCAGGCAGATCATTGTTGAAATATGACATGCTCAACTGGAGAAGGTGGGAATGTAGAATTTGAAACAAACAGATCAGCCATGATCTTATCGAATAGCAAAGCAGGTTTAGGGGGGCCAAATGGTCTACTTCTGCTCCAATTTCAAATGTTCATATAAGAAAGGTTAACTTCTCAGGTCTTAGTACAAAGGGCTGTAAGATGCAGAAAGTTGACAATCTTAAACTAATGACTCAAATTAAGTCTTCTTAGATTTTGCAGTTCAACATAATTTATCAATACAATTAATTCAGACAGCAGGATCAGCCATTGTAGGGCAATATTTAGTCAGCAGCGTAAGAGCTCATTCATGGTTGTACAAGGTTCTGGTTAATTCAAGTTAAGGGTTACCAATGTAACTGGACAGAGCTCCTGCTTATTTACTTGATGAATTAGGTTAGTCACTCAGTGTAATTGTGGATAGAGTCACTGTCCAAAAAGGAGAGCAAAGGTTGTTGTTTAACTGAACAGGACTGCTGTTTATTCAGGATAAGGAGTTTTCACTACAATGGAATCCAGGATGCACTGCTTTTGCAGCAAATTATGGGTTATTGACTGTGTAAACAGAGTAACAAAGTCATGGTTTATCAATAATGTGTTATCAAAATCTACAAACAACTAAAAAGATACCATGTTATTTCTTAATTCTGAATTCTCATCTATTATTATACCTGGTATTTCATTGAAGGGGCTGATGTAGAGGAAGGTGGAAATGCATAATCTGCATATTCCAACTCTGGGTCCAAAACCTGAGAGAAAATCATAGAAAATAAGAATTCTGAAACATATGTAAAACATTATTAGAAATATTACATGTCACACATTTTCCTAACCTTTTCCATTATAAAGATCCACTGTCCATTGTGGGAGCTGTTGCTAACATAGTTTGACAGAGGGACAGTAAACCAAACTAAAAATTAGCTTCTTTATCACTGGATTCACAAAACAGTGAAGTTAAAATATTCAATGACCCTCAAAATTGCCCAACTGTTCCAAATCAGATTTTAAGAATAACAGACATCAGACACCAAGTTTTTAACTTAAACAGAAATGAACAATTTATTAATACTGTAACTTTAGCAGAGTAAAACTGAACAACAAGGTAATCTAGTGATCTACGATTTAAATCCAACCTTTGGTTCAGAATCCCTGATACACACACACAGGCACACACAGTTAAAAGACAAATTAAAAAGAAGATAAAAGTTGTAATTTGCCAGTTCAACATTCATTTCAACAATAAGTATAGGTCTTTATCAATCCTTGAAAGAGGCGTTCTAGTACAGACACACAGGATATTATCTTCCTTGAATTCCAAAGTCATTGGTCAATGAAAACAGCTTTCAGCTGCTCCAAGAAATATTCATGTGTTCCTTAATAACTAGGATTCTTTTCTCAGAACATTCAAAACTTCTTTAATTGAATATAAAACTGGAGAGAGTAAAACTTGAACAAATTCTCAGTCCAGCATCGTCCAAGCACACAGGGTTCTGCCCAAAAGAACAGAATTAAAAACCAGTTCAATCTATGGCTTCTCTTTCTTTTTTCAACATTCTCTGTGGTTGACTGGCTGTCACCAGCCTACCCATGATTGACCAATGCAATATCCAACCATCGAGTATAGTACATCCTAATGCTGAAACGTCTGCAGTGTTCTTAGAACCCTAATTAACCTGCAATTATCTTTCCAAGCCAGTTCCCATATGCAAACTTCAGTTTGTTTGTTCTCTCTTTTTTAAAGCTGTTCAAAGTTCAGTTCTCAACTTCAACTCAGATTCAAACCAAAAATGAGAAAAATAAAGAAAAGCAGTGATGACCTCAATACTATGTGGTTAAAGCCAGCAAAATGCCCTACATTTAGTCCAGCGGCAGAGCGAGTACAGGCCGAGTCCCGTGGCGGAGCGAGTACAGGCCGAGT